ATCTCAAACTTTATAAGGGAATTTTTTAACTGTCATGCAGAAATTTTACATTCCACAGATATGAAATTTTATTTAAAGATGTTTAGGGAGGGACCCAGGTTTGATTCCACCCTCGGGCGATTGTCTGTGTGGCATTTGCACATTCTCCCCGCGTCTGCATGGGTTTCTGCCAGGTGCTCTGGTTTCCTCCCACAATCTGAAGATATGCAAGTTAGGTGGATTGGCCACGCCCAAAATCCCCATAGTGTTCAGGGATGTCAGAGTTAGCCTTTCGGACCCGAAAGGCTAACTCTGATTTTTTTCTTCACAGCTTTTCCAACAACTTCTGTTTTTGTTCCTGATTTGCAGCATCTGCAGTTCTTTCGATTTTTATTGTGTTCAGAGATGTGTAGGTTAGAAAATGCAGGGTTATAGGGATAGGTCTGGGTAGGATGCCCTTTGGAATGTCTTTGTGGATTGGTTGGGCCAAATGGCCTGTTTCCACACTGTAGGGATTCTATTCATTAATTCTGAAATTTTAATATCATTAAAACAGTAAAGCTTCATTCAGCAAGGTTAAACTTTTTATTAAAACATAGAAGATTCTTAGAAGACTGGATAGGGTAGATGCAGAAAGGTCATTTCCCTTGTGGAAGACACTAGGACCATAGGGCATTATCTCAGATTTAAGGCTGAGATGAGGAGGAGTTCCTTCTCTAAGCATTGTGAATCTGGAATCCTTTACCACAGAGGCTATTTGAGACTGAGTTATTAAGTGTGTTCAAGGCTAAGATAGACACTTTTCTTTAATTTATACAGGCAAAAGACAGGAAAGTGGAATTGAAGATTATTAGATCAGATGTGATCTCATTGAATAGTGGAGCAGACTCAATGGGCTGAATGGCTTACTTCTGCTCCAATATAGAGTCATACAGCACGGTGTCTGGAGTCTATGATATCCACTACATCCCATAAAATCCAAGCATTGCATATAGTATCTCAATCAATCCTTCCACTGCCTGCAATTCATCCAGTGTTTAATGAGCATAAATTTCCTGCATTTAAATTTTAGCAAGATCAAAGCTACTGTCTATGGGTCCTCTCCATATCTGTCTCATTAATAGTGATTTTATCCCTCTTCCTGGACACTGTGAGGCAAGTAGTAATTTTGACTGAAGTGTATAAAATCATGAATGGTCTTTGACAAGGTTGATGTGGAAAGGATATTTCGTATTGTGGGTCAGTACAAGATTAGGAGTACTGTTTTAAAATTAGGAGTAGACCTTTCAGGATAAAGATGAGATTTATTTGTTTCCTGGCGGTTGTGTGACTTCGGAACTCCGCTTCAGAAGGCAGTGGAGCCAGGGTCATTAAATGTTTTTAAGGCAGATCTTGATAGATTCTTGTTAGACAACAGAATTGAGGATTCTTGCGTGTAGCTGAGAATGTGGATTTTGAAATACTAACCAATTAACCATGATCTTATTGAATGGCAGATTAGGCTTGCAGGCCTGAGTGGTCTATGGCTAGAGATAGAAAACAAGTGTTATCAACTGGTACTAAACCATTTACACAGTAATGATTCACTGAAACAAGTGATTTGTTTAATACGAGCAGCATGTTTTGTGGATTATATTAACACTTTCGAAAACATACTTATATTATACAGTGTTGTTAAAATATTAACTGGCTGTTTAACTAAATTTTAAAAAAACAAAAATTAAAATGTTACAAAGTAAAATAGTCTAGATTTTCCTTCATTGCTAATTTTGGCAGCAAGTGGCATAAGTTAGAACATTACATCTAATCCTCCAGTGGCAAAGGAACCCCAAATGTTCCAGAAAATTGATTTTAAAATACCACAGCGAGAAATATGATAAATCAGACAGTGCACCCAATGCCCAGTAAAGGGTTTTCATCACAGTAGAAAATTATTAAGTCATTGTTAATAGATCCAATATACCGATCTTTTCCTTGTTGGTATGTTTATTCACAGGATGCAGCGTTACCGGTTTCCCCCTCCTAACTACGAAACAAGTGTCCCACCTGACGCAGTTTACACTTATTTTGAGAAACCAGTGAAATCAAATTAACTTCAAAACCTGACTCCCTAGGTACATTTTTTTTACAATCACCCTAACCAGGCATGTTCTGACACACCTCCAGAACTTGAAACACAAACCTTGCAGTCTAGAGATAGGGACAGTGCCACTGTGCCACAAAACCCATCAGATTTTTTAATCGGCTTGTTTAAACACGTTATGACACACCTCCAGTGCAAGTGGAGCTTGAACCCAGACCCTGTTGCCCAGAGATAGATACCATTGCAAACAAGCACCCCTGCTGACTCAGCCCTTAATCAAACAATATCTACCACTTGTATACCTGTATTTTTAAGATAAAACTAACCTTTAACAGTTTTATCCACATTTCTTCGTATGGACTTAATTAATGAAAAGAATCAGGAATTCTACTGAATTGAATTGAATTGTCCCTGTTGAAGCAAAAACAGAATCTTCAGGTTTTCATTGGAAGTTGAATTTCATGACCACCAAGATTCAGTCTTCACATTTAAATAAATGCTTCTTATTGTAGTCTTCATTGAGCAGTTCACTTTTTATTTATGGCAGAAAAAACATATAAAATACATAATATTGTAGCTTGGATTGTGTATCCTAAGTTTCAATTATACGGTCTTATTTAAGTAACTGATTAGTCATGCATTTATACGAGCTGTAAGAAATGTCAATTAATAAAGCAAGTTAATACAAAATGACCATTGAATATTTTCTAAAATTGATTTTATTTTTAGCTCTGAAGGCAGCTAAATGGTAATTAGTTTATGATTCTTTGATAGCTTTTACTAAGAAAAACACTAAGAAAGGTAATAAGGTACCTTTGGAGCATAGTCATTGCTGCAATGTTACAACAACCTGGATTTATATGGTGTCTTTAATGTGGATAAACATTTCAAAGCAATTCATGGAAGAGTATCCAAACAAAAAGGTTGTTGCTTGGGCTGCAGGCATTTGCAGCATCGTTTAAAAATCAAAGTCTAATTCAATGAATATGTTATAGTCAATATGACTCCAGAGCCAAGCCATCACCTCCCATTATTTGTTGTACTGAGTGATATCCATGAAAAGTGGCTCAAATGCAGCAAAATTGTGATGAATGTTGATTTCAGTGGGACAGTGCAATGATAATGGCTTCCTTAGTGTTCAATAAGGGTCACAGTGGAGTGGCACAAAGGTTCCTGATAAATATGGAGTGACTCAATTGAAGTCATAAGTGATTTACTTCACTGTGCCCTTTTTCTGCTGTAGATGTCACGATGACAAGAAGAGTGCTTGTCCAGAGGAAGGTCTGGGCCAATAGTTTCATGATTGCAGGTCAGACTAAATACAAATAGTTCTGGTGCAAACATGATGGGTCAAGTGGTCTGTTTCCATGCCATAACTTTTCCATCATTTTAAAGTGTGCCATTCCCATTAAAATGAGGCACTTATGCATTCTATGATTGATTCCAGTTACATATCACTGCACACAGACATCTAATTTCTCGGTGAAGGATCTGCTTCTTAAACTGAAGTTTCTGCCCTCACCATCATCCGTTTGTGCAAAAGCTGGATCAAAGACCTTTTCTCCACTTTGTATCTGAAATGGAGCACAGTTAGAATTCTTACATTAAATCATCAACATAGGCATTCTCTGGTTTTCTAGATGAAGCAAGTTGATACCTGTCTAAATTCTCATTTTAGCAAGAATGAAGATCAGACCCTCAGGCAAGCGTGTTAATGACTGGGGCAGTTTGAGCTGGTTTCTGAAAGACTCCCACCATTTCATAATGGAATGAGACCAAAGCATAGAGTAATAGAGTCACACAGCATGGAAACAGACCCTTCGGTCCAACCAATCTACACTGACCATAATCCCAAACTAAACTAGTCCCACCTGCCTGTGCCTGGTCCATTTCCCTCCAACCTTACTATTAATGAACTAACCCAAATGTCTTTTAAACATTGTAACAACCTGCAGCCACTACTTTCTCTGGCAGTTTGTTCCATGCACGAACTACTGTCTATGTAAAAAAGTTAACTCTCATGTCCTTTTTAAATCTTTCTCCTCTCACCTTAAAAATATGCCCCCTGGTTCTGCTAGCTAACTTTTGCCTGTAAGAATATAAAAGAACTCAAAGCAGTTCCTGCTCTACAAAAAGTATAGCCCCTTATTCACATCAGGTAATTGTAGGGACTAGGGTTTCAGTGGATCTCACAGTTTAGAAAGGTAGGGATAATGGAGAGAAAAAATGTCCAGTTGGAAGTAACCCAAATTTTCTGGAAATCAGGGCAGCGTTCTGAAAGCTCAGCTTCCAAAAACCTGAGTTATCCAAGTTTCCTAGGAGTAGCAATCACAGAGATTGCCACTCCACTCCTTTTCTCACAAAAGTAACTGAGAAATTCTGATCCACAGGGTCCCCACAGCAAAACTCCATCTGCGTTTCAGAAACAATTAACTGGACATTTGAAAGTCTGGGCCAATATCTTGAATGGCCTCTTCTACTTCCTGATATTCTTCACATTTGATTTTTACTTGTTAAAGAAACCCCACATGGTTTCCTCACTCAGGTCAAAGTTGAACTTAAACGTGGGACCTAATGATGTCATCCAACCCCAATCTGCATATTTAAAGATAGTTCTGTTGGTTTCAAGTGGCTGCCTTTGCTATCTGCTTGTAAGTGCAAGTTAAAGTTGAAGGTAACAGGATCCATGCATGAGATTGGCTTCCTGGACGAGTGCAGCAATCCAGGTCTTTGGCCTTGCACACTGGAGCCATAGAACTCTCCAGTCCTGGTTCCAGTTTAAATACAGCAACCAGTAGAACTGGTAGTCCAAGTGGCAAACCATAACTCCTGCAAAGAAAGGCAATCCTTTTCATCATAAACTGAAGACAGACTGCTTTATCTTTTGATATGCAAAGTTTTTGAATGTATCTATCATTGCAGTTTCTGGACAGCCTGCAGCCTTCCCACCCACAACAATGCTCATCCCTCTAACTTTGATATTCACATCCCTGATCCTCACAATGCTCACCCTGTGACATAACTCATAGCCTCCTAACTTACCCTTGCCACAAACAATGCTCACATTTGGAATTGGAAGTGAAGTTTGATGAGAGGTGAGGTGATCATTGTCAAAGGGAGCAGAACAGTATGGGTAAGGTATTAGCATTGTTGCGGTTGCCATGGTGAAGTGCTTTGACACTGATTTACTTAGAGTTGCTCTTCTGAGCAGACTTTACATCAGCTATGAAAAGCTTTAAATAAATCCATGTTAAAAGTACAATGTAAGTATAGGACAAAAAGTCCAGATCTGCTTAGATATGACCATCTCTTTCCAATGCCACAGGAAATTGAGCAGTAATCTAAGCAGTATAAAATTGGCATTAGAAGTTTAATCTTCCGCTGAAGGAAAACTTCATCAGGGTAGCAAGGCTCATTAATGACTTAACAGGAGTAGCAAATAAGCAACTTGTCAGAAAATGTAGACCAGCCTCCCTGGACAAATGCAGCTCTTAATTGATTAGTTCATTGTTTCTGACACATACCAAAGTACAGTGAAAAGCTTTGTTTACAAGCAGTACAGGCAGATCATAGTAAGCAAGGATGTACAGATCAAAAAGACTCAGAGGCATACAGGTTACATTGCACAGGGCATGCGCTAGGCGAGATCAATGTTAGCAAGATCAGCATTATTTGAGGCTAGGGACTCCATTCAACTGTTTAATAATGGCTGGGAAGAAGCTGTTCCCGAACCTGCTGGTGCATGCGTTTAAGGTTCCATATCTTCTGCCTGACGGAAGAGGTTGTAGGAGATCATTATCAGGGTGCGATGGTCTGCCAGACAAATACAGTCTCTGAAGAGAAAAGCAGCCTCCTAGAAAAACACAGTTTCCCTGGAGAAATGCAGGCTTCCAAATGAAATGTTGGCTGTTGGAACAAATGCAAACTTCTGGAAAAGATGAAGGATCCCAAGAGAAATGTAAACTGTCTATGCAGACTGTTCTGAAAGGTGCAGCATTGTTACACTGCACTATAGATTCTATCGGAAAGGTAAGAATTCCTTAAAGTTTGCTACTCCTTGGTCAGCCACCCTCCAAAAGTACTCCTGTATTCCTTCTACCAGTTGATGCTGCTCCTCTACCTCTAAATCAAATGGAATTGGTAGAAAGATGTCTTTTTTTTTAAAACGGTATGTTGTCAGGTTCCTGTTTTAAGCAATTTGAACTTGACTTCTTTGCTAATATTCATTTTAAGATGACAAAATCATGTCTTGCAAGCCTTTGCAGAAAAAGCATCCTTCTCTCCATCCCACCTTGTATTGTCCATAGTTAATGGGCAAGTCAGGGGGATAACGATAACATTTCTGATTGGGATTCTAACAATAACATTTGACTCCCTATTTGCATATATTCTCAAGGTTTCTGCCTATTTTCAGTAGGAATCCGCATCATATATAATGCCATCCATCTGAAAATCAGAACAGGTGGGCCTCCAGCATAAAGCAACTGTCCTCAACACTGATCCAGCTCCCTCAGAACCACCTGTCAGAGTGAACAGTAAGCCTGACACTCCTGTTTTTTTTTATCTGTCAGCCAGGGCTCCCTGATTGGACCAGATTAACAGCCCTAATCACAGAACAAATATTCATTGAGGTCCACCTGGCTGACCTTGTTACAATCATTACACTCTGCCCCACCCACAATCCTTAATTATGCCATTTATATTTTTGGAAAAACAGTCTTGTAATGCAACAAAAATCATCCTTGATGGTTATAGAAATGTTTACAGTTGCTGGTGTTTTTCTTCACCAAGTCTAGTTTCATAATTCAGAGAAGGTGTTAACAGTATTGTGTCATTACCTTGGAATAATCACCACTGTTAAATGAGACTAAAGTCTTACCGGTCCTTGATTTCTCCAATAATTATCTGCTCCTCCTCACTTAGTTTCTGAAGAAGTGTTTTTAAGGCAGGAATTTCAAACTTGATATACTGAGCTACCTGGAAGGAGTAATAATAAGAGTATGAGCACAGGCTTTGAAATCATTGACACATTATAATGATTTTGGGAGCTTGTTTCTGAAATTTTACTTACATCAGTGCTGATTTCTTCTGCATCCTTGTCCATTAAAAATATTTTCACAATTTCCCGTGATGGTCCATGAAGCAACCTTTCCCACAATGGAAATGCTGTGACCTTCAGCTTTTTCTTTTCTGTAAAAGGCATTTACAGTTTGAGAAGCAACAAAGATGCTATAAAATTGTTAGATTATGCTCTGACATTGGCATATTTATGATATAAATGATAATTAATTAAGCCCTGAAGAATTTAATGGCAGGTCCTCCATTTTATTTTGTTCCACTTCCAGCATAGCAGACCCAAATTAACAGGCTGACTGACTGCCGAGTGAGAAAACTAGTGATAGGAGGTTGCAATTAAGGACCTCTGGGACAGAACCTAGTAGTTCAATCAGAAAGATGGAGGAAGTGAGTGTTCGAGGCTAAAGGAGGGTGGGAGTGTCGAGAGAGATTGAAATCGGAAATGTGGAAATTGAAAGCTTTGTTGAAGGCCAAGGAAATAATCTTGCTTCTTCTGGTCCATGGATTGCTCTAAAAAGCACTTCACTCATTGAGCCATCAGATACTGCTTTTCTTCGATTACCAGGTTTCCTAAGCAGTGGCATCTGTTAAATTTAAGTCAGATTCCACATTACACAATGGGAAACTGATTTAAAAATGCAAATAATGTGTCCCTCCACTTGCGGGCCAGCTAACACACTTACTGCAAAAATTACAAAGAGCACAGTTGTGCAGAAGTCTGAGGACATGTTTCCTGTTTTATCATTTTTAACCAACACTCTCTAAACTTTCTCTTTTGTCTGCAAACCTGTTTAATTGTTAAGTGAGAAAGTTCCCACTGAACAGAATCAAGTCTGCTGTCACAGTGTTCGCATTCAGGACCTGTGTTAAAACTGCATTAGGGTCCCACTAACACCAGTAGTTTTTTGAGGTTTCCTCTTGCTTTAAATCTCATTGCATCCACCTGCAAAATCCTACAGGTCAATGTGGAGAATATTTGAGATCTGAGTCAATACATAGCCTGTCTACTTTGAACTGCTCATTTGTCCAATTCCTGTTGGAAAGTATTGCCTTTATATAGCACATTGCATACTTATCAGACAGCTCAAAATGTGTTACAGCCAATGAAATTCTTTTTGAGTCTAGTCACTTTTGTAATGTAAGAAACTCAATAGTCAGTTTGCACATAGACAGCTCCCATGAACAGTAAGGTAATAATGACCAGATCATCTATTTTTTGTGATGTTTGCTGAGACAAACATGAGACAAACAGAAGATAACTCCCACTGTTCTTTTTTAGTGCTCTTGATTTAACATCTCATCAGAATGACAAAAGCTCTGGCACTGCAGCAGTCTCTCAGAACTGCACTGGAGAGTAAACCTTGATTTTTGTGCTCAAGTCCTGGAGTGGAACTGAAACTGGAACATTTGAACTATTAACTGAGTCAGACCTGACACTACAGTTAAAATTGATCCCAAAGCCTTAGTTTAATACCTTATCCAGATACTCAAGAATGAGCTGAAGCCTCAGTTCAGTATGTCGCATTGAGTGAGATCAAACCCACCGTTATTTCACTGAGGTACAAGTTCTGCCATCTCAGTACCTTCAGAGCAAAAAAAAATTCTAATCGACCTGTTTGGACACGTTATGATAAATCTCCAGGACAGACGATACTTAAATCAGACCTTCTGGTCTAGAGATAAGGACACTGCTACAAGACCCTGTGCACTTGACAGCAACAAACAAATGTTACATAAATAGTTAAGTAATTGACCCTCTGAATAAAATTCACATGTCTCGGTCAGGAGAATTTTTTTGGGGCAGCCTTTCAGTGATCTGTCACAAAGAAGGGAGGGATTTTTTATTTTGAAGAATATAAACATTAACTCTTGTAACCCATCAGATTAGACTTCTTTTTTCACCTGTTATGGAACAGTCTTGGCTTGCTTACGTGCCTCAGGCCCATTGCTTGAAAATTTGGGTAAGGGGACCTGAGGCCTACATGTATGCTCAAAGAATTCAGTAGGATCACTATTATTTATCAAGGAGGCTAGAAGCCTGTGCATAAAGTATGCACTGTGTCATTAGACCTGTAGGTATAGTGCTAATTAAGCAACCTTCATATGTTACGCCTCCTGCACAGTGCTGTTTGGATCAGGAGCTGAAGCGAAATTGCCAACAAATATTTTTCAAAATTTGACCCCCCCCCCCGCCGGCATTCTCACCTCCCTTGTCTAATCATTCCTGAGCCTTAGCTTTCCATGTCCTTGAACCTTCCTCCCACTGAACCATTGTATAATGCATGGACCAGACCTTCATGAGCGCTGTCGTTTGGCATCATAGCTCCAGTGCTCACAACACATCTCTCTAATCATATCAACTGAGCCCAGGTCAGTAGTGGCCAGAACCAGCAAAGAAATGCCATAGTATCTCCTCCATCTATTGCATTAGTTGGAGGTGGACGTCCAATAAATAATGGACTGTAAGGAAGGTAAACAAAGATGAAACCCAACTAATCAAAATAGAGCTTTTGAATGATTTACCAGAAGAGATTAAGGCACATGTAACACTCGTACTATGGTGTAGTTCCAACCTAAACATAACTAGCGATATAGAGTCACATTGGTCCTAGTATTTCCAGAATCAGAGGGATGGTTATTTATCGAGGCACCAGGACCCTAAAGTCAAATGAACCAAACACAAAAAGGATGTTTGATAGATACCTTACCTTCATTTGCGTGAACAACATACAATGCAAAATCATTTGGATCATTTTCTATCTGTTACGGAATAAAGATGTCAAAACAAAAGACGTTATAATAAATTGTAAATGTTACACTTGAATGTATTTTTTGTCTGTGGTACCTGATATCCTTTGTCACATTTCTGTCACTCTGTGCTAATTTTCTTCTGTTACAAAATTTCAAACACACATTTCCATTAAAAATCTATATAATGATTCTGATTGTGTAATGGGTGTCCACATTTGCTCAAAATGCTGTGTGAACATTTGTTTCAATAAATGCACTAATGACCAAAAGAAGACTTCAAACAAAATATCTGCAATTCACAGTAATATCGTTAAACGTGTCCACTGATTTTTGATGCTTCATTTAGCACTCAACTTAAAGACTTGAAGGTAAAGCTATTCTCAGAACTGATAGTTTTAACTAGACCTGTAACACTGCCAGTTAAAGTTTTGTGCTATATTCATCTTTTTCACAAGTTTTTTTTTAAATTTACTTAAACCTGAAGAATAAATTTTAAAGCTTGTTTGAGATAAAAATTCTTGTGTTTTTATAGGACACAGAGATATCTTGCAATAATTTTAGATCCACAAGCTGAGTGTGGAGGAAGAATATACAGGGTGGGAGAAGGTTAAAAACAGAAACCCAACACACATCCAAAATGCTAACTTCCATTGTTAATGGAGGCAGTTGTGGTTGTGTGACTGACCTGCTCCCCAAAAGATACTGCTTGCTTCAAGCCTAATCTTTTTGGTATTTCAGCCTTGGGAGCTAAGTTATCCAAGAAAACAGAGAAGCTGAAGGGAAGTGTGCACAACTGAGTGCGACCTCAGTTCCTTTCCAGTATAGTTTGTCGTTCATGAGTAACAAGAGTGTTTCCTTCCAAGATACTTGTCAAACATTCTATGATCTGACTCCTTAATTGGTTGTCTTCACTCATTTGTGACAGACCCCCAATCTTTAACCTGATGACTGACTCCCTTTCTAATATCCAATGTTCAGATCCACCACCTATGTTTTGACATCCACCTGTCCTACATACCCCATATCTGAATTTTCTGCTGTCAACCTCCCCAGTCTGACCTCTAATATCCAATTATCTGCACCATGAATTGAAAAATTGTATCCTGCAACCAGTCAATGAGGGACTGTTGTGTTTGCACATTTGAATCCTGCCCCAACCCCATTATCAGACCCTTTCGTGACAAGTGACCGTCCTCGAACACTCCTTCAATCATCGATTACCCTCTCCCCACAATCACTGCAGCCTCTCCCTAAAATTGTACCCTATTCAGACCATTCATCCTTCTTCCTTTGATTCTATCCCATAATGGTAGTGAATCAGCTATACTGTCAGTCTCATTGTTGAGATCTCCCAGCCTCTCCCAATAGCCTGTTCTTTTGTTATGGTTCAGGAGTGAGAGACTATGAGACCTCAATAGGGCACAATTGGCATAAAGCTTCCCAACTGAACAGACTCAGATGATTTTGACCTACTTCTTTGAGGATAGTGGTGGGGGTTTGACAGTGTGACATGTAGTAGACTGCAGTAAGTGATGGAAAATTGAAGGGAGAATTGGAGAAATATTTGTGTGACTGGAAACTTGAGAGAATTGGGCAAGGAACAGAAGTGGGAGAATGAGAATGGGAGACAGTGGGAATATAGATATTGAGGCTTACAGGAGTAAGGAAGTGAAGGTGTTAGCTCTCAGAGCTGCTCAAAGACTGAAAAGCTATTTGGAAAACATACCTTAAACTTTTGTAGCAGTAATGCTATTACCTCCTGGGTTGTCATTGTGCTGTTGATTCTCACATTAGTCACAGAGCCTTTGACTGGTGTGAAAATAGAAGTCTGCAGAATATGGATAGAAGTTATTTTACCTTTTGTGTAATATAAAACAAAATTCCATAGTCTGTTTACACCGCAATTCAGTCCTAATTTAAATAGCCTAAATCTGAAGTTGAAAAAGTTGGATGTATTTGATAGTTGCCTGTTTCCTGCTTTCCTCAAATCCACTCCCATGTAAAATGTCCAAATTATTCCGTCTATTTCATTTTTGTGAAAATGTTGAGAAGCTCTTCAATGAGCACATTTGAAGGCAGGCGGAGAGTTTTCAGTGGTCTGTTGTGAGGGTGAGAGGCAATATGTTTGGTTCAGTGGGTTATATCATTCTGCTCTTTTAATTGGACCAGTGAGGAAGAGTGGGGTGGCCTTGGTGTCATCAACCTAAATAACAACAATATAACAAAATTACTCCTCCTACTTTTAGAGGGACAAAAAGAATAAATACCAAAAACATAATGAAGGATATATAAAATCAGATAAGAACCTATCTGCAGTGTCAGCAATTATACTTCAGTTCCTGAGGCGCCTAAATGTCAAAGGCCTCGAGAGTTCAGGTGCATACTGTGTGAGACATCTCGAGGGCCCCTTGGACATGGAAATAGCTGTACAAAAATGGGTGGCAGCAACTGGGAACTTGCTTTGTCTAATTTAGACTGTGGATAGGAAGAGAGTGAAATATTTTCATGGATGAGTGGGAATGTGGTTTTAATGTTACAATCGGATAAGCCATGATCTCATTTATTGACAGAGCAGGCTCAAAGGGCTGAATGGCCTACTCCTGCTCCTAACGCGTATGTTCGAACGTATGTACCTTGAACACACCTAGGGCAGATCCTTGACGTAATCCTCCAATATGCCCAATCTCCACCACAACATGTAGTCAAAAATCATAAGTGTGAAACTAAAGTACAGCCGGAAATGGGGAACAGTCCCTTCAAATAATGGACCATGAGCCACAACCTCTCACTTCCTGTGTAACTTTGATGCATTTACTCATCTCAGGTGCAAAAGGTACAGAACTGCTGTGTGCAACACATTGGCACAGATCCACAATTCCTTTACCATTCTCAATTTTTTTCCTTTCATGGGAAAGGGTTGAAAAATTGCAGCTCTGTTGCAGCCTGATTTCATTGCTGTCGTCACACCTGGCGTGGAGGCAGATGGGGATGGGTGAAGGGCTGTGAGTGGGTGTGTGACTGACCTGCTCCCTGGAAAACACTGCTTGCTTCAAGTTTAATCTCTCTTTAACATTTTAATCCTGGGAGTTCAGTTTTCCAAGCCTCAGGAAACAGAGCAGCTGAAGGGAGGTTGCACAACTGAATGGAACCTAGGTTCCTTTCCAGCGTTGCTTGTCATTCATGAGTAAGAAGTGTGTTTCCATCAAAGCACCACAGCCTAGGTCAAACCATCTTTGCCGAGGTGTGGTGTCAATAACTGGTACAGTCCCACCACCTACACAGGACACGCTGTGCAAACATGCTTGTATCAGGTTAAATCAGTTTAAGTGTAATTTTAACTATTCAGAAATTAAAACTTAATTTGTTTCTAATAGTGTCAGCTCTAGACTCTGAGCTCAGATTGCCACACCATTTCTGAAGTCAGAATTTGGAACTTGTCTTTTGCCAGCAGTCGCCTCACTTTTCTCATGTTTCCTGTCAAATTTTGCTGTAGGCGATTGCACGATAATTCCTCGGCTTCTAAATTGTTTGTACTTCTACACTGCAGACTAATCAGTTTCACCATTCCAGCAGGTATTGTAAATGCAGCACGAGTTTTAGAAGGCTATGCCACTGTCTCACTTGAGCTGCCTGAAAGAACTTAATGACAGGTAGCTACACTCGAACAGCTGATTGAACAACCAAAAATAGCCACCTACTTAATAAGGTTTAAGTGGCACCTATGTAATTGATGCCAATGGAATGGGAAATAGCTAGATGCGTATAGGCAGCTGTTTGGAATAAACAGGAGCAGTACAAGTCATGGGGACTATTTGTTCATCAAATATTTTTATCTTTTAATCTAGGGTTCCTTGCTCTCTCTGGTGGATATATACAATTAATCCTGTGTGAATTTCACGACTGCCCTTGCCACCACTGATTGACATCATTTTGAAAGTTTACCCAATTCTTCTGATTATAATTTTCAAATAAACACTGCAAGTATATTTTACTTAGTATGACTTACAGCTATAATATTTGAGTCTGTAACATGCTTCATTTAAATTTTATAGAGTCATAGAATCACACAGCATGGAAACAGACCCTTTGGTCCAACTAGTCGAAGCCGACCATGTTCCCAAACCAAACTAGTCCCACTTGCCTGCATTTGGCCCATATCCCTCCAAATCTTTCCTATTCATGTACCTATCCAAATGTCTTTCAAATGTTGTAACTGTATCTGCATCCACCATATCCTCTGGCAGTTCATTCCACATATGAACCATTCTCTGTGTAAAAAAGCTGCCCTCATGCCCTTTATAAATCTTTCTCCTCTTACCTTAAAAATATGCCCCCTAGTTTCGAACTCCCCCCACCCCTAGGGAAAGGACCTTTGCTATTCACCTTATCTATGTCCCTCATGATTTTATAAACCTCTATGAGGTTACCCCTCAACCTCCTACGCTTGAGTGATAAAGTCCCAGCCTATCTGGCCTATCTTTATAACTCAAACTTTTCATTTCCGGCAACATCCTGATAAATCTTAAATAAAAACCAAAAGAACTGTGGATGCTGTAATTCAGAAACAAAAGCATAAATTGCTGGAAAAGATCAGCAGGTCTGGCAGTGTCTGTGAAGAAAAATCAGAGTTAACGTTTTGGGTCCAGTGACCCTTCCTCAGAACTGATGGTAGCTGGGAAAATGTTGGTTTATGTGCAGAAGATAGAGTGGGGAGAGGGGGTAAAAAGTAAATGATAGGTGGGGATAGAGCCCAAAGAGAGAGAAAAACTGTTGGACAGACAAAGGAGTTGATAACAATCTGCCTAGCAGGGTGAATAGCTGTTAATGGAGACTGTTAGCGGCTAACAATAGCTAGTGTGTAATGACAGGCTATGTGATAACAAGGCCTGGTGTGTGGGGTAGGGGGATAGGACATGGGAGAGTTCAGGCCCGAAAATTATTGAACTCGATATTGAGTCCAAAGGGCTGCAGGGTCCCCAAGCAGAAAATGAGGTGTTGCTTTTCCAGCTTGCGCTGAGCTTTGCTGGAACACTGTAGCATGCCTAAGACAGAGATGTTGATAAATCTTTTCTGAACCCTCTCCAATTTAGTATTATGCTTCCTATAGCAGGGTGACCAGAACTGTACACAATACTCCGGAAGAGGCCTCACCAACGTCCTGCACAACTTTAAAAAATAACATCCCAACTCCTATATTCAAAGACTGAGCCATGAAGGCAAGTGTGCTAAACGCCTTCTTAATCACTCTGTTTACATGTGATATAAATTTCAATGAATTATTCACCTGAACCCCTGGGTCTCTCTGTTCTACAACACTGCCAAGGCCCTGCTCTTAATTGTAAAGTCCTGACCTTGTTTGTTTTATTAAAATGCAATACGTTGCATTTATCCAAATTAAACTCTATCTGCCACTCCTCAGCCCATTGACCCAATTGATCAAGATCTCTTTATCATCTTAGATAACCTTCTTCACTGTACACTATGCTACCAATTTTGGTGTCATCTACAAACTTAATAACCATGTCTTCTAAATTCTCATTCAAATCATTTATATAAATGACAAACAAAAATGGACATGGTACCGATTCCTGTGGAACACCTGGTCACAGGCTCCAGTCCGAAAAACAACCCTCCCCCACCACCTGTCTCCTACCATCAAGGCAATTTTGTTTCCAATTGGCAAACTCTCCCTGACTCCCATGTGATCTAATTTTATGAATTAATCTACCATGCAGAACCATGTCAAGGGCTTGATGAACAAAGTCCTATCTCAATTTGTGTTGTAAACTGCACCACCCAAATATACAGTGTCATTTGATCAGTGTTAAGTTACAGTATAAAATGCACTTCAATCATTAAGAGTAGAATTAACACATTCCAGCCTCCACCATTCAATGATCAGAAGTGATGTTAGCATTTAATATTTGCTCCCACGAAATATCAGTTTGTTGGACCATTAATATCAAGAATACTTAGCAGTAGATTTTTTACCAAGTAGTCTTAAGTAGAATACAAGTCCATTTTAGTATGCTTATATCTATAATGCAATAAAAAAGTTTAGGCACAGCCCTTCCGTTGGCACAGACTCTTCCTATCACATTTTCCATATGTCACACTTTTGTTGATAACACCTTTCTATTATTAAAAAGCAAGGAGAAAAATTTTAATTCTTCAAATTTGGGTTGGGTGGAAAATTAAAATGTTAAAATTTGTAAAGCTAGTTCCAACAGGCTTGACGTCCACCTATTTCTGGTTTTAATGGAAACATGAAGGAACAGTGGTGACCAACCCACTTGCAAAAGGTGGGTCACTCAATAACATGTTCTAATAAGGCTCTGTGCCACACATTTTATCCATTTTAGGCTCAACCTAAACTGATAGGCTTTCCTGGGCCACAAATGTGAAATGGCTCATCCAGCAAATAATCATTGCTTGGAGGCCAGAGGAAGTAGGACTGCTTTCCCTCGGTACAGTAGACTAATTGTAAACCATTGCTGCAATAATCCCGCTGTTAAACATACATCCCAGCCCAAGCAGTCATGATCTTCACCTAACATTTCTGATCTCCACCAGATCCTTTTGCTCTCTTTCCCATCCTATCTTCTCTAATCTGACCCCTGGGGCTTTTCTCTCCTCATCCATTGGCCTTTCCTAATCCACCTCCAACCTTTCAAATCCCTTTTCCATAATATTTCTGAAACTACGACATGGCTTTTTCAATTGCATATACTGGCTTTTCCAATCGCTGAGCATGGTTCTCCAATAATTTCACCCCTTCTTTCCAATTTCTTCCCTCAGTCTGTCAACTTTTTGATTTCCTGCACCTCC